TCCCAGCGACTCAAGAGGGTGTGGCAGGAGAATCACACGTTCAAGGACAGACTCAGCAACTTAGCCAAGACCTAAGCAACTTAGCAGGACCCTATCTCAAAATAAAAAAATAAAAATAAAAAGATGGGGATGTAACTCTGGTAAAGTGCTTCTGGGTCCAATCCCCAGTACTTGCCCCAGCCCCCAAAGGATATGGAGTCTATTACCCCACCTAGGCTAGCTTGGGACTTTCTTTGGCCAGCAGAATATAACAGAAGTGTCATTGTGTTGACAGTTGTCCCTGATGGCGCAACTGAACTCTCCCTCACCAGGTCTCTCCTTGTCCACCATGCTAGCCTGGACTTGTTTTCATGACAGAGTCAGAAGTCCCCCCAAAAGGACAAAGGCCCACATGAGATTGTTGGGCTCTCAGAAAAAAAGAGATCTTTCTAGACAGAGACCCAGATCTATGAGCATGACTGGTCTCTTTAGTTAGACGAACAAAACCTCCAGTATATGCTTGTATCAGCTCAACTCGAACAAAAACAGAATCAGTTTAAATGTCACCAGATTCAAAGACCTATACGATGTGCCCACAATTGATTTACGGTGAGACTGCTTAACCAGGAGGAAATATTCTGAGCCCCAAATATCAAATGATTGACATAGATTTGATTTTCACAAAAGTTTGCCTGGGAACCTGTGCTTTTCTTCCCAGGAAAATCTTATATATAATGAGAGAGTCCACCCCTGGGTGTGTTACTGATCTTCTCCTCTGAGAGCCAGTAGCACCCTGCTTTAGGGGATGCATGCTTTTGCTTTGCTGTCCTTTAATAAGTCTTTGCTTGTGGCTTTCTTGTTTGCTCTTTTCTTTTTCTTTTTTTTGTACTAGGGATTGGACCCAGGGGCACTTAACCAAGAGCCACATCCTCAGACCTTTTTATTTTTTATTTTGAGACAGTCTCACTAAGTTTGCTGAGACTAGCCTTGAACTTGCCATCCTCCTGCCTCAGTCTCCCGAGTCTCTGGGATTACAGGGTGCATCACTGTGCCCAGCTTTGTGCTTTGTTTCAACACAAAATTCTTTTCAGCAGCATAAATCAAGAACATGCCCAGTTGGAGTTGAGATCCTGTGCCACTTGGAGGGACTGCCTTGGACTCCTGTTGTGACAGAAAGCAAGCAGAATATGCCACCTGAAAATGTGGCTCTTTTACATAAAAATTAATTCTAAGCTGAAGGCACCTAAAAAGCAGCAAGTACAGCAAAAAAAGCTTCCTTTGCCCTCCGCCTTTGCTGCTGGTAGGCAGGATATAAATTCTTTAGAGGAGACAACTATAAACTCTTATCAACCCAGAGTTGGCAACTGCCCAATCTACAAACAAATCTACCCTATCCGTTATGTCTTGTAAATTTATCTTCCTTGCTTCACTGCCCTGAGAAGCCTAAAACTGCTTTCCTTTGTCCTGTCATTTCTCTACAAATGTATTGTTCATTTTGAAGCTGCCGTATGAGCTGAAGTTTGAAGCCACTGCTTTGAGTTATTTTTCTTTCTCTGATATGATTTATGAATTCATTCATTAGTGAGCTGGGTTTTTTTCTTAATCTTTCTTTTTTATGTGTTTTTTTTTTTAGTTGTAGATGGCCACAATACCTTTATTTTATTTATTTATTTTTCTTTGATGCTGAGAATTGAACCCAGTGCCTCACACATGCAAGACAAGCACTCTACCACTGAGCCCCAGCCTCAGCCCCTCTTGTTAATTTTTCTTTTTGTTAAAGAGCCCCAGCTAAAAACCTACAATGGATAAAGGTACCGTTTTGCCTTCCCGAAAAGGCCGAAGCTGGAACTGGTACACCATTTCCTAGGCTACATTCTGCTGGCCAAAGTGAATCACAGGACCAGCCCAGATTTAGAGGCCAGGAAAGGAGGCTGAGGCAGGAAGATAGCAAGTTCAAGGCCAGCCTTATCAAGAACTAGCAAGGTTCTAAACAATTCTTGGGAGATCCTGTCTTAAAACAAAAAGGGCTGGGGAGGTGACTCAGAGGTTCAATCCCTGATACCCGATTTTTAAAAAAGAAGAAGAAAGAAAAAACAGTCATTTCTAAGTCAACCCAGAGGGCTTTGTTCATCACAGACTTCAGTGACAGGGCTTTCCTCTGTGTGTGTGTGTGTGTGTGTGTGTGTGTGTGTGTGTGTGTGTGTGTTTGTGTGTGTGTTATGCTCAGAGGCCAGGATGACATTGGCATTCTACAGGTGTCATTGGCTCCTGCTTGGGTCACAGATTCTTTTGATGCCTGCAATTAGTGGCCTCTGTGTGTTCCACATGCTTTGCTGTATGACTCATCCATTCTTCTCTGTCCCCCAAGGTATTCTCGTAGAAGCAAGGCATATTTAGCCAGTAACACAAGAATCTGTCTCCCCGGGATCCCAAACCAAACTTAGGCTTTACGGTTCCCCCTTGGGCACTTCCCTCTCCTTTGTCCTGAGTCTGATCTGGGTTCACCCTGAGGCTTGTCTTGAGTGCCTGCTGTGCAGGGAGCCCTGGGCCTTTATCAAGCTTGTCCAGAGTTCAGGAGAAGACACAGAGCTACTGGAGCCTCTCACAGAGATCAGGGCTCACCTGAGCCTTACCTGCAGTGCTCCACGTACAGGGAGCCAACTGGGAGCAACTAGGAGCCAGTCATCTGTGTCCTGGCACCTTGGGAGTCAGAAAAGAATGGATGATCATATGGCAAAGTGCGTGGAACAGCATAGGCCATTAATTGTGACCATCAACAGAATCTGTGACCTGAGCAGGAGCAAATGAAATTTGTCAGATGCCATGTCAGACTGGGTTCTAAGCTCCCCACCAAAGCTTCTTGAACTCCACTAGAGATCAGTGTCTCCTCGTTCTTAGCCGCTGGCATCGTCAACTTCTTGCTCATCCTTCTTTGCCTTAACATTCCACGGTAACTGGGACTGTCTGTTCCTAGGCTGATTCCTCCTCTTGACACTGGACTCCTTATAGGGAAGGGCCAGCAGGTTGCTTTTGTCTTCAGTGGTCAGCAGAGAGGGAAGGTAGTTTGGGTATGGACATACCGGCAGGAAAGGGGCCAGAAGCAGGGTCTCCGATGCCCCAGCCCCAAACTGTCTACCATACCTCTTGACATTCTGGTCCTTGAGATTTTTGTAACCAAATGCCAGGATGACCCCCTGACCTCCAGTGACCTGTGGCAGGGGCAAATGATCTGGCTTTCTGAGCCTGTGGTGAGGTTCTTTGGAATGAAGGTCCACCTTCATTCTTAATGTGGTTTCCTTGTTAGGACTATTAGCACTGAAGTCAAAGAGATGAGTTTGAATGCCAGCCCATATGCTAAGCTATGTGATCCTAGCCTTTCTGCTAGCGTTTGAATTGTGTCTCCCCCAAATATTTGGGTTGAAATCCTCACTCCTAAAGTGGGCATTAGGAGGAGGGGACTATAGGGGGTAATTAGAGGGACCAAGATTATGAAGCTCTCATGATTTGGTTTAGAATTTCTGTTGTTTATAAGTTACCCAACTTCAGGTACTTTATCATAGCTGCCCAAATGGACTAAGACATTTTGTAAGTTATAGAATCCCATTAATCTGAGGTCTTTTTTTTTTTAAAGAGAGAGTGAGAGAGGAGAGAGACAGAGAGAATTTTTAATATTTATTTTTTTAGTTATCGGCGGACACAACATCTTTATTGGTATGTGGTGCTGAGGATCGAACCCGGGCCGCACGCATGCTAGGAGAGCACGCTACCGCTTGAGCCACATCCCCAGCCCTAATCTGAGGTCTTAAATGCCTTCCCACACTATTGTCAACAGCAGCAGATCCAGGCTTTATGTGACCTGACGCTTCTAAAACTGGGAGGGTCCTGAGGTATCAGCTTTGACGTCAATATCTCTGTTCTCTCCAAATAAAGAAGCAAAAAATGTCAGCTCCTCTTTGCCCCATCAATCTAAGGTTACATCTAAGATGACAATCAGGAGTCGGGGACCCCCAGAATTCCTTCTGGTGACTGACAGCAACAATGATTCGTGGCAACCATCAGAGATTCCAGACCAACTGTGTGCTTCAGTGTGATGTGTGTGGTACGGGGTTTGAACCCAGGAGAACTTTGAAATTGACCCACATTTCCAGCCCCTTTTATTTTTTTATATTGAGATAAGGTCTTGATAAGTTGCTGAGGCTCACCTGGAACTTGCAATCCAACTGCCTTAGGCTTCCCAGTACCTGGGATAAGAGGTGTATGCCAGCACGTACTGGAGCCCCAGTGTGATTTAGTGTTTTGTGTGAACTCAAATCTGTTTCCTTGTTCCTAGAGGTTCTGTGAACTTTTTTTTTTCCCTTTAAGCATTTACAGAGCACTTATTGCCTCCTATTTCCTGAGCTCAGTACTAAGTCTTCTGCATACCTAGTATCCTTTCAATAAGCCTTTAGCTGCCAGAGTTGCGTGTTGTGGCTTAAAGGCAGGAATCTTAATCTTTCCTCCTCTAGGGCTTGACCTGGAAAGACCAAGGGAATATAGAATCACCCCCAGAGCCTTTCTGCCTTCCAAGCTCCTGGCAAGCCCTATTAGTTACATTCACCCCATGAGCTGCCCCACCTGCCTTCCAGGCACGGATTCTGCTGCCAACCTCTTACTCTGCCATCCACTTTACCTGGCTTGCTGCCCAGGCCTCCCCAGCCATCTTCCTACTCCTTTCCTCCTCACTACCTCCCCCACAAGGCTTATCCAAATTTCTCTCTGGCCCAGAATTCCACACCTCTTATATACCACAGTTGTGTCTCTGGCAGTGACACTGCTTGCTTTATCCTAAAGAAAATAAAATGGGGAGAAGATCCACCCTTCTGATAGGAGACAGGTCTGTGCAAGCCTGATTCATAGCTTTTTTTCCCTACTGCAGTTCCAGAGCAAAATCCCCCTCCTTGCTTCCTCCTCTTTTCTCACCAGATGACCTTGGACAAGTCCCTTTACTTCATGGGCTTCACTTCATGGGCTGCAAACTCTAATCTGTTATCACACAGGTTAATTATCGTTTATTTTCATAAGTTGGCTCTCTCCTCTCAGGGCAAATCAAAGGTTCATCATACCTGAGCAGGGTGATGGGGAGGGGTGTGGGCTCCTGGGAGATGGAGCAGACAGACACTGATGGAAGACCACAAGACCGAGGCATCTTCTCTGATTTCTCACTAAAGATACAGGTGACTATAACCTGTGGCTCTGATGAAGTATGGTGCAGAGGGCGTGGGGGAATGGAGTCCAGGGTGCATATGGGAGATGATGTACAAACTTCAGGAGCCAGCTCACTGCTGTGCCCCTCCACTCCCAGCCAGAGCTAGACGTATTTCTCAACTACTGCGTCCCAAGGGAGGAAAGAATCAAGGGGAAAGAAAATGCTTGAGTAGTGCCCAAGGGAAGTGGGATGAGAGTTTTGCTTTCCGTGGAGAGCATACGTGTAGGGAAACCAGCTCCTGAAGAGGGCGCAAAGGAAAGAAAGCTGAGACTCGGGGAGAAAGACTTGGTCCTTTCCTAGTTCAGGGGAGAATCCTGGACTCTCCCTGCTTCTCTGGTGGCTGACTCTACTTTCCCATGCGCCTGTCCACTTCTCCTTCTTATATGCTCCTCCGGTATCCAAACTACCGCCGCAACTAGGACCCTCCGCTAAGGCTTGGAGTGCTCATCAGTGGGCGACGCCCACCTGAAACTGCTGGGACCGCGAGGCACCACGAGGTCCAGGTCAAGGTCACGCTGCTCATCCTCAGAGTACACGGGCCGGTAGCCCAGCAGCTGCAGGGCGCCAGCGCACAGCTCCTGCACGCGCCGAATCTTGCTGAAGGGCAGCGAGTGGCGCCAGGCCTGGGAGACGTTGTGTGCATCCCTAGACGTGGTCTTGAAGGCCTCTCGGCGCGCACCGGGCCCCGACCCGTGCGTGATATTGTGAATCCAGGACTCGAGCTGCGGCGTAAGGCTCAGGCCGGTGAAAGCGTAGAGTGCGCGGATCTCGCGCAGCGGCTCCCTCGCCAGGTCCTCGAAGCGCACCAGGAGGTAGCGACCCTGCAGGAAGGGCGGCGGCTTGTGCAGAGCGGCCTCAGCTATGCGCACGTGGCTGCGACACACCTCGCTCACCACGCGCAAGCGGGGGTCGGCCTCCACCCACGTGCCGTTGGTGCCCAGCACTATGCCGTTATCGCGCGCCAACGCCGCGGCGGTCTGCTCTCGGGAGCGCAGCACCGCCCTTGGGTCGCGCACCAGGTGCACAATGCGTAGATTGAGCGCTGGGTCGTTGAGTAGCGGGTAAAGTACCTGCAGGTTAAAAAAGCGCACCTCCTTGAGCACCACGTGGCTATAGGAGCGGCAGGCCTCCTGGGCCAGGCCGAAGGGCCGCCGCGCGCACAGTGGCTTGCACACAGCCTCACTGCTGATGGCGCCGCGACTGAAGGCGTTGCAGGCGGGGGGCGAGCACAGCGCGCGGCTCACCGCCCATTGGAAGAGGTCTGACAAGTTGCGGCGCCACGGCAGGTAGGCGTCGAACACGTCCATGTCGCACAGGAAGACAGAGCGCACCAGATCGCGAACAGCCATGTGCAGCGCTGGAGCACTGCCCTGCGACAGGGCAGCCCACACGTGCCACGCGGGCTCCATCAGGTAGAACACGTCTGGATGCTGGCTGAAGAGCTGGCCCACGAAGGATGAGCCCGAGCGCCAAGAGGACAACACCAACACGTGCACACGCTGCTTGCCGCCGGCTGGGTACCACGGCCCTTGTCGGGAGACCAGGAAGAGCAGAAGGCAGGTCTGCGCCAGCAGGAGTGCAGTCACTACAGTGCCGGAGACGCGCGGTAGCCGCATGCCTGGGCCTGCGAGAGCCGAGCGCCAAGGTTAGGGAACGTGGCATAGACTCCCAATCCCTCGTCCAAACTACTGTCCAGTTGTGGGTTGGCAGTAGCCTCAAGACTGAACCACCCGACCCGACCCAACCGAACCAGGGCTCCCAAGGCTGGTCTCAGTCCAGCGCTCTCCTGGGAACGTGAAATTAAAATACAAGCCATACAAGCCATGATCCAGTCTAGGCTGACAGCTAAAATCTAGTGGCATAATACTGTGGGAAATCTATTTCTCCTTCTCTATCCACCTGTCTACATAGCTTGGACTACCTATCTAGAAAAGGATATATATAAACAAAATTCCTGAATTTTGTTTAAGAACTCCTCTTAGGGAAGCATTTTTTAGGTGGCTTAACTAAAGAGCTTGATGCCATTTGGCACACCAGTGCACTAAAAGTCTCCTTCAGTTTGAATCCTGGCTCTTCCACTTTCTACCCTGTGATCTTCCACAAAACATTTAACCTCTCTGTGACTCAGCCTACCCATCTGTAAAAGGGGGATAATATTGGTACCTGGCTCTTAGGGCTTGGGGAGATGATTGGAACCAGCATGGGGAGAGGGGTCATGTAGTAACCCCTATAACTGAGGACTCAAACTTTCTAGGGTGAGTCCTAGAAAGGGTGCTTCTGTGCTGTATGATTTTTATTAACAAGCAAGTATACTGTTGTTAGTAAAAATGTACAAAGGCCTGTGGATGTGGCTCATTGGGAGAGTGCTTGCCTGGTAGGTGGGAGGCCATGGATTTGATTCCCAGCATTGCAAAAAAAAAAAAAAAAAAGGGGGGGGGTGCGGGTAAAAATAAGTAGAATGAACAAAGAACATCAACTGTCCCCATCACCCCTGGAAGAAGTGCTAAATGTAGCCCAGGCTCCAAAATGAGAGGATCCTATGGGAGCCATGTGTGTTTTCAGAAGAGACCAGTTAAGGAGGATGCAGGATAGAGCTAGAGAAGCAGAGGTGGAGCAGAAGACGCCCCTGAAGGGCTGCTTGCCCCTTCCCTACTGGGGGTACTCACTGCTGTCCAGGGCTGCTGGGAGAGCTGCCCACGCCGATCACAAATCCATTGGAGGTGCCTCAGGCCTGAGAAAGCAGGAGGGACACTGGATCAGAGCCCCATAGGGGAGATAGTTCCCACACAGAAAGGTCTCTGGGGGTGGGAACAAAGTTGCCCTGTCCCTAGCCTGAGCTGGGTATTTTTCCAAATGGATTTAAACAGATGGGCTTTCCTGAGAGATGGAGGAAAGAGGGTCAAATTTTAATCCAAGCCCTGCCACACAGGAGCTGTAAAACTTGGAGCAAGTGTCTTGACTTCTCTGAGGCCCAATTGCTTTCTCTATAAAATGGGGGGATGGCAGCATTTAACTTCTTATATTGTAAAGGTCAGTGCCACAAACACCTTTGAGGAGAGGGCTTGGTAAGTATCATACACGATCTCGTGTTACTATTACTATTCTAGTATTGAGTTCACAGAAGAAGCCCTTCTCCATGGGAAGCCTCCAAGTTTATGAGACCCCCTAAGATACCTCTTCCTTGAATCCCAGCATCTCTCAGGCCCACTTCTAACAACCACTTACCCCTGGTCCCCTTAGTAGATCTTTACACCATCAAACTTGTCCTACAGGTGAAACACTAGGCCCAGCTCACATACCCCAAGGTCCCAGAGTTTCCTGCTCTGTGCACCTATTGTTCCTGCAGTTATCTCCAGGCTTGGAGATAACATTGGAAGGGAAGGCCTGGAAATCTCCTCATCGCTTTTGTAGTGTCTGCTTCTCACCAAACCATATCACCACCAAGAGAAACTGGACTTTAAACTGTGTGTAGGTCCCAACTCTGCTCCTTCTCTTCATCAGGAGGCCCCAGGAATGGGTAGAGGACACTCAACAGCTCTGTTACCTGATGAACCCAGAGCTGGAAAACCTGGCAGACAGGGGGAGTGGCCACCCATCTGCTCTGCACCCATTACCAACACTCCTGGGCTGCTGGCTGATGGATGGCAGGCTCCCCTGAGATTAGTACCAGAAAGGAAGGGAACTCTTATTTGTACTTTACAGCTCCCTGACTTAACTGACAGACCCTAAGGCAGGCATTATGATTTCAGTTTTTAGTTGAAGGACTCAAGGGTTAGAAAGAAGCTAGGAATCTGATTGTAAGCTCTTGCACTTCTGATCACTGGCTGAGGGCATCTCCCACTCCTAATCACTCTCCCCAGATTTTGGGATCTTTATGCTTTGGCCCAAACAAAAGACAGTTGCCCTGACTGCCCCAGCCTTACTCCCAGCACAGGAGGATCACAGCCTCAGGCCAAGGTGTTTGTTACCTGTGTTCTGGGAAAGCCAGAAATCTTCTTAAGTGACTCATCATGCACTACAGAAACTGCTTGCTATCTGATCCTATTACAGGAACTCATAAGAATTATGAAGAAGATTGAAATGTTCTATGCTACCTAGGGTATCCAGAGAAGCCTAGGTCCTGGCTGAGAATTTTCTGATAAGGAGCCTTGTGTTTTGCAAGCCAGCCAATTGCTCAAGGGTTCCAAGTTAGGAAGAGCATGTCAGTAAGGCATTGTGCTATGTACTTTCGCCTCAGTGATTGAATTTTTTCCTCCTTGCATTCCTAGGAGGTCAGTGGGACTCAGAGACAAGAATGCCCAGTCAGCAAGGGTCAGGGCTGAGGGTGTAGCTCAGTGGTAGACTGCTTGCCTGCTTGAGCATGCAACACACACACACACACACACACACACACACACACACACACACACATATACACAATTTTCTTCTCTTAGAAATCTCTTATTAATATAAGTCTAACTAAATCAATATTCAAAATTTATATTATGTGCTTTTATAAAACAATTCACATATATACTAAGAGTACACTACCTGTCTTGTAATGAAATTTTTATTGCCATGGAGTTAGATTGCCTTAGATAATATTAAAATTGTAATAAAAGGCTTTGTTTTTTGTAGAGCTAAATTGCCTGGTATATTAAAATGATTTATAGAATGGATGAAAGATAAAATTGAGGAAATAACAAAAATAATAAATCATAGATAAAAGAGGGAAAAGAAAAGAAAGCAAGATGCTCAGTGGAGGAAGTCCAATACAGCGAGAGTCTCTACCCTGGTGGAGCTGATAACCTAGCTGGGGACATTAAAGACACACTATGTGATGGCAAAAGACCAGATGGTGGCCCAGATATCTAGCCATGGGAGACTCACAGTAGTCTTGGTATGCATATTTCTCTCTTGGATTCTAGAAAAATCTCCTAACTGACCTCTCTCCAGTCCATCTTGCATGGTGCTAAACCACATTCCTGATTGTTTATTTCTACCCAATTTTCCTATTTCACTTCCCAGAATTCCCATCCAGTACCCTTTGCCTCAGATGACCAGGAATCATTACTGTTCTTCAAATGACTCACACCAGGAGTCACTGGCTTCCTATGAGGGTGCCTCTTGTGTGCCTCTTGTAATGCATGCACTACTCTGCCATCCATTACCCTTCTTGCCTGCAAGCAACTTGAGGGTTGGGATTGTGTTTTTTTTGCAAGTGAGTGTCTGACCTCAGGTATCCAGTGTGAGGCTCAGCCCGGCATAGATACAGCAGATATGATTGGGTCGACTCAATACCTGCTCCCTCTTCCAAAACCAGCCTCTAGATTGACCCATCACACACCCACTCAAAGTGCTTGTGGTTTGGATGAAGCTGACCCTGGTTGCTAAGGGTCATGTGTCCCAAGATGTGCTCATCTGTTTACACCACACACTGACTCCCTCTAACCCCCACCCCACATAAGAACTATTGGTTTAGGAATAGGATACCTGTTAAACTACAATCCAAGGATTTTTTTTTTTTGTGATCTGAAGGGAAAAGGGAAACTGGGTATAAAGCTAACACAGAAAAGAACTGAGCAGAGAATGAATGGGAGTTTGCAAGCAAGCTGAGAGCAAAATCTTTACATCTAGAACTGTCTTTGCCAAATTCACTCATGGACTTCTCAGTTGGGGAAAGTATTCCAGTTTTGCTTCAACCAATGTGAGTTGAGTTTCTGCCACAACCAAGAGTTCTGCTTAGATGGTGGATGCCCTGGGTGAGTGAGTCAGGTAGAACTGGAGGGGAACGTGGGCAGAACTTCTGGGCACGCATCATGCTGTGTTCTCAGTGAGGGTGCTGAATATATGGGTGTGTTCAATCTGTGAAATTTCATCACACTGTACCTCTATGATCTGGGTTCTTTGCTGCTATGTTACACCTCAATAAAAAGTTAATAATCCAGACTGAATAAGACAGTAAGTATCATGACCCAAAATATACTAAAGACTAAGTAGATGATATTAGCAAATATTTGCTGAATTGAAATTAGATATCCCATCATCAAATCCAAAGACAATAATGAATTCCCCACTTGGCCCACATTTCTTTCTGTTTAGTTCCTTATAGTATCTTTTTTTTTTTCTTTTTTGCAATTTCAGAGGTTGAAACCAGGGCCCTGCATATCCTAGGCAAACACTTCTAACACTGAGCTGCATTCTTGATCCTTTTTAAAATTTTTATTTTGAGATAGATTCTTGATAAGTTGTTGAGGCTGACCTCAAACTTGCAATTGCTCCTGTCTCACTTCCACAGTAGCTGGGGTTACAGGTGCATATCATTTGTGCTCAGTGAAGTTACAGTATCTTCTAAACATCCCTCACCATTTCTTGGCCTGAGAGAAACAGGAAGGAGCTACCGTTCTGCCTGGTTTGTGGATGGGAAAACCACTCTACAGGCGAAGGAATGGTTTGCCACAACAGATGTGCGGCTGGAGCCCAGGAAACCTGGCTCTCTGGGCAATACTCACTTTTGGCCAAACTCTGCCCGCCTTGACTCAGCGGATCCTCTTGTCACCAGCCTGTCCCAGCCCTGGCGTGGAATCCAAGAGAGTGAAATGTAATACTAGGTACAAATCCCGGGCTCAGATTTCTTTTTGTTTGGTGTCAGCTGAAGGCCATCCCTGTTCAGGAGCCCTAAGGCTAGAGAAAGTAGATTCCGGATGAGGAATCAGTAAACTCTAGACATCAAGGACCTCCTGCAAAGTAAAAACCACTCTATGGAGCCCAGTGCATTTGTCAGGGAGAAGGAGGAAAAGAGGAAGGGAAGGGAAAGGGAAAAAATAAATATGAAGGCAGGGAGGGAAGCAAGAGGGAAGATGGGTGTTCACAGTGGGTAAGAGAAGAGCACAGTAAGAACTGTCAGCTGAGGGGTTCCTGTATGCCAAGGCCTTCCCACCCAACTTCTGATTTGATTGTCACAGCAACTCTAACAACAAGATGATCTTCTCTAGCTTATAGGTGAGGAAGCAGGTTTAGAAAGACTAAAAGACTTGCCTAAAGGATCTAAACAGTAGCTGAGTCAGAAGTTGAAGCCTAATAGTCGACATTTAGAGGCCTTTGCTGCGTAGCATCAAATGGAAAATGCACAAGTAATAAAACTTACATACAAATATAATCATACTGAAGGATACCAACTGTGTTGCAAAACATAAATATCAAAGGACACCCAGAGACGGGAGAAGATAACTCCAAATAATATAATTGGAAAGGGACCTGGAACCGGATTATATAAAGAAATCTTACAATTCAATAACAAAGGGACAAGTAACCTGATTTAAAAGGGGGCAAAGGAAGCCAAGCATGGTGGCACATGCCTGGAATGCCAGCAACTTGAGAGGCTGAGGCAGGATGGCAAGTTTGATGCCAACCTTAGAAATTTAGTGAGACCCTGTTTTAAAAATAAAAGGGCTGGAGATGTAGCTTAGTGGTAGAGCACTCCCCTGGATTCAATCCCAAGTACTAGGAAAAAAGTATGGGGGGGGGAAGTCAGAGAAGAAATTTTTCCAAAGAAGATATACAAATGGCCAATAAGTACATGAAAAGATGCTCAAGGTTTCTAGTTTGGGGAAAATAAGAATCAAAACCATAATGATATATTGCTTTCCATGCACCAGGACAGGATGGCCACAGTAAAGAGAGGAGCTGGGGGAGGGTAGCTCAGGGGCAGAGCATTTGCCTAGCATGTACCAGGCTCTGGGTTCAATCCTCGGTAGATAAAAAGAGGGGGAGAGAGAGGAAGAGAGGGAGAAGGAGAGAGATGTAATAATTTAAAAAATTACTAGTGTTCATGAAAAGAAGAGAAATTGGAACGCTTATATAGCGCTGGTGGGAATGTAAAATGAATAGTACAGCTGCCATGGAAAACAGTCTGGCAGTTCCTCAAAAGGCTAAACATAGAGGTACCAGATGATACTACAATTCCAGTCCTAGCCATCTACCCAAGGAAATTGAAAACATATGTTCACCAAAAAAAAAAAAAGTGGTGCGTGAGTTTGCATAGCAGCATTATTTATAAAAAGTAGAGAGTTACACCTTAATAAAGCTCTTTTGTCAGGTGCAGTGGTGCACACCTGTGATCCCAGCGGCTCAGGAGACTGAGGCAGGAAGATCACTCAAAGCCAGCTTTAGCAAAAGCAAGGCGCTAAGCAACTCAGTGAGACCCTGTCTCTAAATAAAATATAAAATAGGGCTGGGGTTTAATCCCCCGTACCAAAACCAAACCAACCAACAAACAAAAACTCTTCCCCACTCCCCCCAGCCCCATGCTGAGAATCAGTCCCAGGGGCTCACACATGCTAGGCAAGGGTTCCACCACTGAGCCACACATCCAGCTCCATTAAATCTATTCTCTAAAAAATACACAATACTGGAGGAAGAAGGGTGAAAGGAGGCACACTGGATATTAGTGTTTATTTTTCTATGGCCAGGGTACAGGTTATTTTTCTTCTTATTAGCACATTGCTGCAGTTTTCTGATAGTCTATAATAGACGTGCATTACTTTGGTGATCATAAGTTGATTATTTTTAATTGATTAAAGGAGACATAAGTGAAATCCCCCCACACACACACACACACACGCAAGAACAGGTACCTGCAAATACGTCTTCCAGTTCACCTGAGTACTCAGTTGGTCAGAGAAAGCCAGGGCATAGGATGGAGAATCACCTCCTGTGTGTGCCATGAAACATGTAAAAATCCTCAAGCCTACCCTCCGTCTCAGGACGGTGGACTAGGTCAAACTGTGCAAAAGACACACCTGTTCCCCAAGCCCTGGCCCCATCCGCTGTTCTCTAAAGTTCTGATGAGGCAACTTCGTGACAACTGACAGAGGCAGGGAAGTTGGAGTCACACAGACCAGATGCTGCTGGAGGAGATAGATCTGCCTTCAAGAATCTCTTAGGAAATGAATTGAAATTACTCCGGGGAGGGAGCCTCAAGATTCTGTGGCTTAGAGCCACCCTAGGGCATTCCGAAGCAGATGAGCAGATATAAACCCCTTTCCCTGGCTCTCAGCTTTTGGGATTCTGCTTAGGAACCACAGTTTTGTTTCTTCCTCTGTTCTCTCGACCACAGGAGCCACAGGGGACTTCTGTGACCCTGAAAAGCCTGGGGAATTCTGCCCAGTTGCTGGCAACCAATCAGCTTGTTCATCAGACACCAGCTGGAAGTCCTCAAATTCAATTCACTTCTGACACTGACTATCTGGGTACGGTGTCAAAGGCCATGGGTTGAGGGCTTAGTCTCTAAGACCGGGCCCTCACCCCCAGATGTCACTTGCAAGCTTCAGGTTGTTTTACTGCCCAACCAGCTATGAACCAGGATTCCCATTACTCCATCCTGGGGTTCACTGAGTTTCTCTGGAGAGTTCACAGAACTCAGAGAAACACACTCACTGGTTTATTACAAAGGCTCCAGATGAAGAGATGTGCAGGGTGAGATATAAGGGAAAGGGCCCCACTTCCACATCCTCTTCAGGTATACCACCTTCCTGGTCCCTTCACATGCTCCCCTCTCTGAACCCTGTCCTTTTAGTTTTTTTTTGTTTTTTTTTTTTTTTTATGAAGACTTCATTGTATGTCTAATGATAATAGACTGGTTGGGCAAACCCAGCAAGGCCTGTCTGTTTAGATTCTTCTTGACCTCTCTGTGCAGCATTCCTTCTTTTAGGACATAGGGCAGGATCTTTCTGAAATGAGAATGTCATGATCTACTTCCAGACAAGGTAGGTCAGAGGATTTCTTCATACCATCAGGTGAAAGGCAGGGGAAAGGGGAAGATGTGGGTCTCTACGACCTGCTTTAGGGAAAGGAAATTCTAGTTTCTATGACCTGCTCTGGGAAAGGAGTTCAGAGTCAGGAAGTGTGAATGAAAAACCAAAAAATACGTACCGTACCATCCCAGGGATCCTCAAAGTGCACTAATTACAGTCGAAGGGCCTAAATTCTAGCCCCCCCCCCCATTTTTTTTTTTTTCTCTGCAGCAATACACACAGGATATGGGGAAGGACTGTGCAGTTATGCAAAATTCCCATGTTTTCCTCAGTACTCACAAAGCCTTCCATTACTGAGATAATTGAGAATGTTCTCTGGCTTATTTTATTAACTCTTTATTTTAAATCATTCAGCGAGGGGCTGGGGTTGTGGCTCAGTGGTAAAGCCCCCGCCTCGCACGTGTGAGACCCTGGGTTCGATCCTCAGCACCACATTAAAAAAATAAACAAGTGAAATAAAGGTGTTGTGTCCAACTACAACTAAAAAATAAATATAAAAAAAAATCATTTAGCGACTCGAGGAGGCTGAGGCTGGAGGATTGCAAGTTTAAAGCCAGCCTCAGCAACTTAGGTAGGCCTTAAGCAACTTAGCAAGACCCTGTCTCAAAAAATTAAAAAGGGCTGGGGGAGTGATACAGTGGTAGAGTGTTAAATCCCCATTGGTAGAGGGTTAAATTCCCAGTATCAAAAAAAAAAAAATCATTCTTACAAGTCAATGAAAAAGGAAAAAGGGATTGTTTTGTGGAACTTGTTTGGATCCTGATCAGAACAAACCAACTGTAAGAGATAATCAGAGAAATTTCAGATTTCAGTATGGACTAAGAATTGAATTAGGTGATATTGAATGCTGTTATCACTACCTGGGATACTATTGTCCATGCATTTCTGTACCTATCTCTGCCTATGAGATTAGACAAACCCTGTTTGTCTCATTAGTGTATAGTGATTAAGATTGTAAATCCCACTTGATCATTTACTTAATGTCTGCCTGTTTTTTTTCTTTTAAATCTATTAAGTGGAGGAAAGAGCGCAACCCATTTCATGGGCTTTATTTGAAGATAGCATTAATATTTGTAAGGAGCCCAGAACAATGCTTGACCCATAGTACACTTATAAGTATTTGTTCAGGAATCTTCCAAATACTGGGTCACAATTATATTCTATGAATCTAAGGAAAAGTCTATGCATTAGAGAAATCCAAGGACAATAGCCCTACCAGATTTTGGTGGCCCTTTTGCCTAGCAACAGAAGGTGGCAACCAAGGCAGGGACTGTACAAACACACAGAAAACAAAAGACAATGGGGGATAATGGCTAGACGCCTGGCTTTGAGGCCAGACTGGGTTTAAATTCTGTGTCTACCATGCATTGTGTGATTCTGGGCCAGTTGCTCACTCTCTCTAGGTTTCAGTTAATTCCTTGGTAAAATGAGGTTATAACTGCACCTACCACACAGGCTGCAGAGAACCAAGTCACTGCTCCTTCACAGCCTACTATTCCTAGTAGCTCTGGTATTTGACCCACTGGAGGCATCTGGTCAGCCAAGCCCTTCCTGCTTTTCAGGCCTCAGTTTTCCCATCCTTAAATATGGGATTTTTTTTTAAATGTGAATTTTGCCTAGACTGTGATTCCAGCGACTGGGGAGGCTGAAGCTGAAGGATCACAAGGTCAAGGCCAGCCTCTGCAATTTAGTAAGACCCTGCCTCAAAATAAAATTTAAAATAGGACTGAGGGTGTGACTCAGAGGTAGAGTGCCCTACGACTCAATCCCCCGTCCCCTCTTCTCTCTCTTTATCCTGCACATTCACGCACAAAGTTCATTTTGACTTCCTTGTTTAAGAGGGAAGAGAAAGGAATGTTGCATTTCTTGGACACCTACACAGAGGCCAAGGGGGCCTCTAGGCCCAAGGCGAAGCAGCCAGAAGCCTAACGGTAGGACTCAAATTCATCTGTGTCTGGTTCCAAATTCACTCACCAAACTACTTTTTCTCGGAGCTTTTCAAAGCTGTGCTTCTTAGATAAAGGATCCCCAACAGTGATCCGGTGTAGCTCAAGCTCCAGGGAGACGCTGCAAGCGCGATGCGCTTTCCACAATGCAGACAGAATTGCCACCCTCGGATCTCCCCGTCTGCCCAGAGCCGGGCTGCAGGATCCACGAGCCTCCCCAGCTGTGCCCCTCACCCAGCCCCAAGCCCACCCGAGAGTGGAGACATCCGGCGTGGAGAGTGGGCGAGCCAACGTACCCCAAAGCTTGGCGACTCTGGCTGATTCCGCCAGGGAGCGGACGCCTCTCTCCTGCCGCTCAGCAAAGGCTCCTACACGTCGTCCCTTCCAAGTTCCAGCCCACAGCCTGTTCCTTCTCTTCACCGGGAGAGTCTGCAGGGGCTGATTTGGTCCTCAGAGTCCCACGACTATTAAGGGGCCCGTGGTGACACTAGGGATTAAGCTCCAAGAAGCATCGATGGGAGTCGTGGGCACCAAGGTTTTGGAGACACCTGGACACTCCAGGCGGAGCGAATCTGGAAACAAGGCTGGAGTCCAAGGGAAAAAGGGAGGCGCCGTCTCAATGCGATGTTGGGGATGCGGGTGTCCTGGGGCTGCGACACCCACGGGACACGGGCCTCCCGTCCCGGCGGGGCAGCCCCCTCCCTGGCCCAGCCCGGCGCCCCGCGCCCCGCGCCCCGCTGTACCTGTGCGGCCGCGGCGGCCCGCTGCGCTGCTCCGCGCTGCCCGCCCGGGGCGCACACAATGAGGCACTTTCAGAAGTGGCTGCAGTCCCAGGCCCGCCGGCAGGAGCCAGGGCGGGAAGGAGCCAGTTGGCCCCCGGCTCCTGCTACGCTCCCCAGCCTAGACACTGGGGCCACGCCTCGGGGGAGGGGCGGTGGCCGAGGGCGGGCGCAGCTGGGTCGGGGAAAGGGAGGGCACAGGTGGGCTCGAGGGACACCGGGGCCACATCGTCAGGACGAGGACGCCAAAGGGCGCTCGCAGGGTCACCTCTCACCCCACTAATGGTTCAAAAAAGTTGTCGTCCCCTCAATCTCCAGAGGAGGGAGGCTCCCGGGAGGACAAAAGGCCCTTGTGAAGGAAATCGGATCTTAACCTTGCCCCCCCACTCCCCCATCCCCCCATCCCCCGCTCGCGGTGACATCCTCGCAGTGACTTGGAATCCAAACTGCTCCCCCAGTTCTCAGCCTCAGCACTAAGCCAACACCCAGACACCTTGATGCCAGGGGCACCTTCGCAGGCTCTTAGACGTAGTAGCCCAAGCGGGAAGGCCAAGAGGCCAGGTGGCTTTCAGGAATTGGGACCCCGCAGTCGACCCCGCTTCCTGTCTCCTCCCTACCCTACTCTCGACCCCAGGCACAGGTTTGATAGCAGGTCCAGATAAATACAGGATACATTTCAACAAATAAAACATATCCTCCCTACACCCCCCCCCCACAAATAACAGGGCAGAGTCCTCTTATAAATAACAGGGCAGAGTCCAGGTGAAGGACAGAGCAAAGACTTGTAATCCATGATCTGAAACAAGTCCCTGCTGCCGGGAGTGTGAAGGGAGTGTGAATTAGTACCAACCCTGGCTGTGGGTTGGCGAGATGAATTAAGGTCCTTAACCACGGTCATCAGCTTTTTGAATTAGTAATTCCTTTCTAGGACCTATATTTTTTAAAAAATATATATTTATTTTTTAGTTGTAGTTGGACACAATACCTTTATTTTATTTATTTTTATATGGTGCTGAGGATGGAACCCAGGGCCCCACACATACTAGGCGAGCGAGCGCTCTACCGCTGAGCCACAACCCAGCACCGCCCCCCCTGCCCCGCCCAGGACCTATCTTAAGGAAATAAACCAGCAAAAAGTATTCATATAGAGGTTCATAGAAAGTGGGTTTTTTTGGGGGGGATGTGGGGGAGTTGTGGGAGAAAACAGGAAAGAGTAGAAATATGTGTATCAGAATGCCAAATGCCGACCATGATAATTTAGAGATTCAGACAAGAGTTATTATTATTTTAAATTTAAGGTTTGTGTCATTTACAGATTTTCCCTAGTAGGCATTTAGAATTTATTTGGTCCAAAAGTTACAAAAATCTTTTTAATTGCATGAATAGAAAGAGGAGAAGAAGATGGAGGAGGGCAGATGGGAGAAAAGAGGGAGAAGGGAAAGCAAAGGGGAGAGAGAGCTTTATTAACTTTATATGACAGAACCTTGGTGGGTCATTAGGTCCTGGCACCTGATTCTAGCAGAAACTGATCACTTGACAAAATTAGGAATCTTTGTCTTGCCTTGACCCCAAATACTGAGTAACAATCTCGAACCCTGATTTAGCTCTGGGTTGTAGCTCAGTTGATGAAAATCCTATTTCTCACCTTTTCTTCCTCTTGCAACTCTGCAGTGTGGTTCAGGTTCAGAAGCTACCATCATATGATCTGAAAATAATTTGATATTCACCAGACACAGTTGTAATTTTCCATGCTGTGTTTTCCACAGGCCATGTGGATTCCACCAAAAACTCACATTTACTTGGGGTTGGACCAGAAGACTTTTGCCAGAGAACCAACAAAAGCTCCAAGGTTTCTGGGCAGAGCCTTGGCAGAGGAAGCCTGCCGGTGAGTAACAGAGAAGAGTGCGCAACTTCTGCACTCCCTATTCTTCCCCCTCCAAACCCGTTCCCTCTATAAAGCCACAACCTTCCATTTTGAATATTTTAATTAGAAAGTTATAAAACATCATTAATTCTCCATATAAATCTCACATTATAATAATTTAATAAAATGCAATGCTTATCTTCAGCCATCTTTCCATATGGCATTACCTTTTTGAGATTTAAACCAGAAATCATTTTTCATTTATATCTCAAGGGAAAAATATGTAGGCATGTAAATAGCTCTAAATATTTTAAAAGAAGTCAGAGAAACTAGTGTTTGGGAATTTTCCTGCCCGAATACTTCAATATAGCTGTTTCCAACAATCTCATTTTGGTCAGCCTGAAAGAAAAGATGCTTTGGAAATAAGAACTGAATCTCCAAAGTAAGTTGAGGTACACACAGAGGGGAGTTTGTTAGTGGACATGAAGCATGGGTCACAGGGGACTGTCCTTCCAGTGCTATGACATGGTGAGGATCATAAAGCAGAAGACCTCGGACCAGATTGCATCCTTGCTCAGGATGAGACTGGGGCTGAATGGCGTCTTCCATGTACAGCAGAAGCCCACTCTCCCTGCCTGGAAGAGCTGATAGCCTATTACGCAGCTGCTGGCCAGCCTGGACAGGACTCCCTGAGCTAGCATCCTATTCCTTCCCTTGCTTCTCCTCCTGTCCTCCCCAAAGCACCCCTCTGCTGGGCACCCCGTTCCTCAGTCAAGGGGAATGTGAGTAGCTGGGCTTCCTGCTAGCCCTCCAAATAAACCCTGCGGTTGTCAGGCAGTGGGAGCCAACACCAACAACAACTCCTCTGTCACCCACGTCCTTTCAGGAAGAGGGAGGGCTGTCAAGGAGAAGGAGTGGCAAGGGTCCAGGCTGTTGGGTGAGGGCCAGAGAGAAAGGACCTGTTGTTACAACCCTTGCGTCCCCCCACTGCTGCTGGGGGGACTGAATGAAATAGCACTTCTGACTTCAGCCTGCCATTCCAGGGGCACAGACAGAGGGCAAGAGGCAGGGCACAGAGCCAGCTTCTGTAGCGCAGGGAGAGAGGGTGGTTCAGCTGAGCTGGCGTCTGTTAGGCTGAGGCAGGTGGACGGTCCCAGTGTCCTTAAGTCGCCCACCCTCCGCACAGGCTTTCGCTGCTCTTGTGCTGGGCCCTCCCCTTGCCGTTCTCCAGTTAAAGGCCTATGTTCTAGAAATCAAAGCTCTGAATGGGAACTGTAGATACCCAGGAGTAGCAAGTGCTAGGGATTAGCATATTTATCATGAAAGCCCTGAACGGAGTAAAGAGTGGCTTACAATAGGGGGAGGAAAGCACAGGGCTTCTCAGTTCAAAAGAGGAAAAGTCTTTCCTCCACCAGAGATGGGACTCTTTCCAAGATGTCAGAACTGTGATTTTCTCCTATGGGTAAGGCTAAAAACAAAAACAAAAATGAATGATAGCCTCGGGGAACCTGCTGACCTTCCCACAAACTAGTCCCTGACAATTTTGTTGGTGCTTAAGAAAATATGGGATTTGTGTAGAGCAAGATTGGAAAGAACCGTCTTCTGTCTCTGAGGGGAAAAACTCTGTGTAAGCCTTCACGTGTCCACCGCACTGTTTTCAGAAATGTGGTAACACGGTAGTTCTCAGAAGACAACAGTGAGGTAGCCTCGGTCCTGCGGAGTCTTCAGAAAGGTTTTCTTAGGATAAGTGCTCCTTATAGACTTCTCCCGGGGGCATTGCCGTTACAGGGATTGTAGTCACCACTTGATTCTGAAACACAAATATTTTGATTCTCTTGAACACCCAGAGGAAGATGAGCAAGATGCTGACATACTGGACCCAGGCAAACTTCACCATCTCCCAGAATCCTGGCTGGTAAGTACAGAGAGTTAAGGAATTGCAGATGACACGAAAATAAAAGTTGCACTAGAGTGCAGGTCAGACAGGAAATGACAAAAATGTTTCCAGTGCCCTTAAGATAAAAGGAATGATAAAAAATTATTAAGACATGAATATGGATGATCCTGACCTAGGAGAATTGCTCAGAAAGAAATACGAACAGGAAATGAGCTTTTTTTTTCTGTATGAGCAGTAGCAGACACGGCACAGTTACTTGAGTGGGGCTACAGCGCGGCAGCAACCCTCAATGTAAGGTGTCCCACATCTGTTCCTACTTGGGCAACCTGAGGAGTCCTTCCTTCCTTTGTGGACACTGAGCCCCCGCTGGCTCTCTAATAAAAAGGATATGAAATGACTTCCACAGGGTATCGGATGACAGCATTAATCACAAATGGAGCTTCCGCGGCCCTGCCCACCAGCCAGATGGGGTTGGCGTCATTCAGGACGGTGGTAACTGCAACACAATCACCAATCATTAATCTAGGATGGCCCTTTGGCAAAAAAGAAAAAAATATGTATGGGGAGGCTATAAATATTCTTTGATTACTGGGATACATATATATATATATACACACACATATATGCACACACACATGTATTTTGTACTGGAGATTGAACTCAAGAGATATTTTTCACTTCAAAATTCAGAAATAACAGAAGAAAGAAACTTGCCTGCGCAAAGTTATTCAGGTATTATTCAAGTACTTGTTAAAAACCTGGAGGCAGAGTCCTACTATTGCTGCATAGAATACTACGTTGCTGCAGGAATACTATATTGCTAGTAAAAATAAGGTCAAGTAGAACTTTGTATCGGTGTGGCAATATATTTATACTACATAGTTAAGTAAATATGAAGAATTTGAATCCCAAAGTGTTTCCACACTATAATGGCTATATGAAAAAGAAGAAAAAGTTGACTTGCAGGTCAATGGTTTTTAATTTTTTAAAAAAGTTCTTCTATCACTAGAATAATGGTACTATTGTAAGAAGTTAGGAATAAATATTGGAGATGGCTGGGTGTGGGGTCCATGCTGGCTGGTTGACCAACAACCCTTTTGATGCCTTTAGAGAAAACCCTAGGCCACCGAGCAGTCCCGCCCAGCATGCTGATGGAGCACCAGGACCTCAACCCTGTAAGGACTGCACATGTTCTGCCTCCCACCAGCACGACAAGGCTCTGCTCCTGCAGGGGGCTGCTCATGGGAGGTGGGGTGACTCGTTCCTGTCCTCTACTTCTATCTGAAAAGTATGGATATCAAATTGTCTTTGGTTTCTTTTATTGGTGTGGCAAGGGGAACATCTCAATTAGACTTACATACACATTAAAATAAGGAAACCCATCAAGCCAGTGGTCACTAACTTGTTGGACCACAGGAGGGGCATTGAGGTGGGAAGAGGCCAAGCTCTGAAAGTGGTGAGGGGTAGCTGAATGGCCCACACCCCAGACTTACCATTCC